CGTGGAATAGCTTTTTTCAAAAAAAAAAAAAAAAAAGAAAACAAAAACCAATTGAAATGAAAAAGACCAAAAAGAGGGAAACCTACGTACCTGGAGCAAATAACCGGGAAACAAAAACCATAGAAATTGAAACACTGCTCTCACCCCCAAACCTCTACAACCCGATTTATTAAGTCGTCTCCTTCACTCCGACTATTCACCGGAGATCGAAGATCATTTTCGCCAGCTGCAAACGGCTATTTTGTAGGCATGACTTCGAAAGGTATTTCTCATCCCTTTCAGTTTTCTTCATCATTTCCAGTCGGCAAGTCTACTGTCTCGACGGGTTTTAATCAGTTCGCTTGGGCATTTTGGTTGGGTAACAAATTCCAAATCAATTTCATTCTGGAGTTTAATATTCTGAACGTGAAGATTCGGTCAGTTCGCTTGGACATTTTGGTTGGGTAACAAATTCCAAATCTTTAGATTTAAATTTCATTCTGGAGTTTAATGTTCTGAACGTGAAGATTCGGTCTGTTAAGTTCATTTCTGAAGTTTAAATGTAATGTTGATGATGGAGGTTAGATTTAATAAAAGTTTAAAATTTCAGTTCAAATTTCGCAAAAAAAAAGAATGCCAACTCATTTCATTTCCATAATTTTCACAGTTTCATTTCCATAATTTTCCCAGTTTCATTCTCGCAGAAAAAATTTTCAATTGGCTTTTCTGTCATTGCAGCGAATGGAAGTTTGGAAGAGGTGGAGGAACATATTTTCTCACAATCTGGGAACAATTTGGAAAGTGTGATCTTAGTTGATGATAGGCTTGAAGGAGTAGATTGCTCAATTGTGCCTGTGGTGGGTATGAAGTTTAATAATGAAAATGAAATTTTACAGTTTTACAAAACATATGCGTACGACGTAGGGTTTCCGGTTAGAAGAAGAAACTCAGCAAAGGACGATCATGGAGTTGTAAGATATACTGCGTTCACATGTAGCCGTGAAGGATGCAGAAACTATAATCCTAGCGGTTCTTTGAAGGCACATGCAACCATGCAAACAGGTTGCAATACCAAACTTACTGCTTCTGCAGATGCATCTGGAATATGGAGAATTAACACGGTCAATCTCAATCACAATCATAAAACAAGTCCTTCGAAGTCAATATTGTACCGTTGTAACTGAGAATTGAAAGCTCATGTTAAAAGACGGCTTGAAGTGAACGATCTGGCAGGGATTCCATTGCATAAAAGTTACAACTCCGCAGTCGTAGAAGCGGGTTGGTATGAGAATATTGCTTATGTGGAAAAGGATTGCCGAAACTATGTTGAAAAGGTGAGGCGGTTAAGACTTGGGGAAGGCGTACGGCACCGATATGTTCGAATGAATTCTAAGATGCAAGCAAGGTGCCCGGGTTTTTACACCAGTATGGATTTAGATGAAGAGTCGCGGTTGAGGAATATTTTTTGGGCCGATAATAGGAATAGACAAGCATATAAGGAGTTTGGCGACGTCATCACATTTGATACCACGTATTTAACTAATAAGTATGACATGCCATTTGCACCTTTTGTTGGAGTTAATCATCATGGCCAGTCAATATTACTCGGTTGTGGTTTGGTTGCGAATGAAACAACCGAATCATTTGTGTGGCTTTTCAGGACTTGGCTTCAGTGCATGTATGGACAGGCTCCTCGTGGAATTATAACGGACCAGGACAGGGCTATGCAAAATGCGATTGAGATCATGTTTCCGAATACTAGGCACAGATGGTGTTTGTGGCACATTTTGAAAAAGTTGCCAAAAAAGTTTGGATATTATGTCGACAAGAGTGCGATATTTTCTAAGATACATGTATTGGTGTATGATTCTCAAACTGTTGCAGAATTTGAAGAAGGATGGGGAGCGATGATCATTAGATTTAACTTGGGAGATAATGGTTGGTTGTCAACAATGTACGCGAACAGAAATCGTTGGGTACCTTGTTACTTAAAAAATAGTTTTTGGGCGGGAATGTCGACAACTCAACGTAGTGAGAGTATGAATGCGTTTTTCGATAGGTATGTGCATTCGAAAACGTCGCTTAAGCAGTTTGTCGAACAATATGAGTGGGCATTGAGGAGTAAGGTTGAGAAGGAGTTTTAGGAGATTTCAAATGTTTCTCAGTCTACCATGGAACACACTGCTTCATTGAGATGGAAAAGCAGTTTCAACAAGTGTACACCATCTCGAAATTTCGAGAGGTTCAGGATGAGTTCATTGGAAAGATTTATTGTGACCTTATATCAGTCACAGAGTATTTTTCAGGTACGATTTACGAGGTTTTGGAGGACGTAATACGTGATGAGTATGCCGACAAGAAAAAATTTTCCGTCACGTTTCAAAAAGAAAAATGTGATATTGCTTGCACTTGCCACTTATTTGAGTTTCGCGGAATAATTTGCAGGCATGCGATCGCTGTGCTGATCCGTAATAATATCAAGTCACTACCGGACACTTACATATTACGTAGATGGAGGAGAGATGTGAGTAGAGCTCACACGAGGGTCGCAGTAAACTATGATGGGTTAAGTAGCACTCCGGGACAGTTGAGATATGACAACATGTGTCAGACATTTGCTTTGCTTGCGGACATGACTGCAGATGACGACGAGCAAGCACGAGACATATTGGAGTGGATAGAATGCAAGAAACAAACAATAAGAAAGAAAAGCTCCATTTGTGGAAGTAATGATATGGCCCATTTATATTTGGAGAATGAAGCCTCCCACCATTCAGGCAGGGGTATCCTACAAGATCCAGCATGCTCAAAGAGAAAAGGCGNAGCATTCTGGCAGGGGCATCATACAAGATCCAGCATGCTCAAAGAGAAAAGCCGTGCCTAAGAAACTTCGTAAGAAAGGCCTTTTGGAATCGAGTTCTAGTACCGGCAAGGTATGTTTTAAAATTAAAATTTGCAGCACATTACGCGTACATTAGTAATGATTTTTAACTTAGACCATATTATGCACGCAAAGGGAAGGAGACGGAGCGAACCACCATGTCAAACGGGAGGCGGGGCACCGATTGCTCAGTCACCCCTTCAACCACAGTACATTATGCCTTCGCATATCTCATATTCACAACTCTTATAGGTTCGTACTTCTTTTATTACATTATATTTTTTATTCAATTTTCCAATGAAGTTGCTTACATGTTTGCTTGGTATAGGGTGATGAGAACATGCTTGTGCTCACACAACACTTAGGGGCTCCCCATTTCACGACTCCGTCGTCAACACCGGTTATGCTCAATGGTCCAAACGAACCAGACCAACGTGGCGCAAGAATATGACAAGTTGCCTCAATTTATGTTGGTGTTGGAAGTTTTTTTGGTATTGGAATATAGATAGATCAATGTTTTTGTTGCCTATGTCTGGCTTGTTGTGTATGACTAGTTGATGTTCATGATGGTGCGTAAGATCGGAATATGATTTCTTAACTGTGTTGTAAGTGACTTCATTGTAATGTCACATTTTTATTTGAAATGCAGAATTTTAAGGTTATGGCATTAATTGGAAATATTCTGTTTTCTCCAATAGTTATCACCAAACAATGAGAATTTCCAAAATTGAATTCATACACAAAATTTGAATTGTGACACCATCTGGCATCTACACCATCTACACTACATTTTACACAAGACATCAAGCCGGTCCCTTCCCTTTCCTATCCACTTCCACATTTCCATTACCTTTGCGTATTGTGACATTAATCGAAATCTCAATGTCTCTTTCTTCAACTACCCGACACCAAGATTGGAATGCACGATTTATCTGCTGAAGTTCTTCTTCGATTAATGTAGAATTGTCTGAGTTAGCAGTGACGGTATTCGATGATTCCCCGCTTGACTCTGCTTTATCCACCCATTCCCAGTACCTACACTTAGCAGTGCAGCAATTGAACAATTTGCCCTTGTTCTCAGTCTCCCTTTCGACCTCAAAGCACTTCACGAAGCCATGTTTACACCAAGGGCAACGTCGTTTATTCGAGAAATCCGCAAAGAAATGCCCCTTGGACCTACAGCTACGGCACACTCCGGCATTCCTTCTTGTCATTCTACCACACAACAAAACAACATACAACAAATTAATCAACTTAACATTGCTTGCACAATGAGCAAATGAAGAATTCAAACACTGCTAATCCGTAAATTACAGTGATAACTTGAAAACACTGCTAATTCAATAAGATTCCTTCGAGTTCTCCTCGCAACGTGCTCGACGGGTTTTGGGAGATTTTTTCGAATCTTCCTCGCACTCCTACTCGCACTCAGAGACGGCTTTTAGGAGATTCACTCTTCCTCGCACTTTTCGTAGGGTTTACAGTTAGATTTTTTCAGCAGTTTCTGGCATCTCTCTTCGCACTGGAGCTTCGCCATTGCCGTTGAAGTAGGGGGTTGGGGTTCCTTCGCTGTCGCCGTCGACGGTAATCGAGAATTCGGTGAGGGGGAGGTGAATTTGAAAGAAGGGAAATGGGTCGATCGTGTTTGCTGTTCAATTTGGGGGAGTGAATTTGAAAGAAGAGTAATGGATCGATCAATTTGGGGATTTTTTATCTGGGCTGGGTTACGCGTTTGGGCCAGCGTGTAAACCAATTACACGCCAGGTCAGCGTGTACCTGTAGCGGGACCGAAAAAATAAATTGGAAAACAAAACAAAACAAAACAAAACGACGAAATAAAGACCGAAAAGAGAGCAGTAAACGGGTGAAATATCAAGGATCTATTAAAGGGTAATACCGACACATAAATACACCTCGCGGTTCAATTTCGCGTTCATTTTGTTCAATCTGATTTGTGTCCCGTTGAATTTTATCTCATTTTTCGCAGATCTAGGGTTTCTCCATTTCATGAATTCTAGGGCTTGAGATCTGGTTCTGATCTGTAATTTTCGGGAATCCAAGAGCTATACTCGATCTCCTTTTTTTTCTTTTTGGGTTTTGGTGTTTATGTTGTTGTGGTATTAAGAATTCATTTGAGAAAATGCGGGGGAAAGGTGCGAATGCGTCGATTAGGGATCGGACGCAGGAGTTTCTTGGCATAGCGGAGAAGGTAAAGAAGTCATACTCCCCACAAAATGGGCCAAGCAGCAGCGGATCGAAACCTCATGAGCTGCTGACGCCCATGGCGATGCAGTCGGAATTCAATCGTAAGGCATCCAAGATCGGGCTCGGGATTCACCAGACCTCGCAGAAACTATCTAAGCTTGCGAAATGTAAGTGATTCTTTGTCCCTTTTGGCTATAGTTCGGTCAATGGCAGAATGAGATAGAATTTATTGTTATTTGATTGTTATATTGTTTAGGGGGTTTACAGGAGCTGCTTAAAGTTATGCTTGTTGTGTGACTTTACTTTTATCGGAAGTTTAAGCATTATAGTTGAAGAATTTGATTCTTCACTATTTGTAGGTAAGACAAACTGACATCATGAGACTTGTATTGATATTCTGCGTTGAAAATTAAAGCAGTTTGCTCAGATGCTTTGTATTCCCCTTGAATGACCTGAGATAATGGTCAAATGGACTTTAATTATCTTTGCATCAGACGACTTTGACGTTTTCCAGTGAGTTCCTGTATTACTTGATCTCTGCTATAAATCTATAATTGCTATGAGTTGGATCTTAGTCTATTTCGAATGAGCTCTTGGCCCTCCATAATCGTTTTCATTTTTTTTTTCTTTTTTTTTTGGTGAAGTCCATTCTAGATAAGGTAATGTTTTTTAGGCCTCTTACCTTAACAAAATAGGGAGTTTGGCTTTGCTCCCTAGCCTAGTATATTGATTGGCTAAAAATATACAAAGGAGGGGGACTTCAATGAACCTTGCCTCCTACATGATTTCTTATCACACCCCCACCAGCAGCTAGATTTTAGTTCCCTTTGTGGCATCCATCAGAGTTTAGTTTGAGAACACCAACAGAAGGTTTCTTCTAATGGACTAAAATTGGTTGAATTTTACGAGTCTTAAGGCTGTCTTGAGAGAAGTCCAATAATTCTATGTAATTCCTGTTGTCGAGATTAAAAAATAATGAATTGTAAAGATTTAAATGCAATTAGAATCTTTTCTTTGGGAAGATTTTAATTTTTCTTGTGGATGAAATGCTCCTACGGCTGTAGAAACTGAGATTTTTTTTCTTTGCTCAGTCTGCATCTCCTTCATGTTCCTTTTCTTGAGAATCACTCAGATGGATTAGCATGAATATCAGTGTGCAAATATTATAGTGTGGCTTGGTGAAATAGATAACTTATCTATTCAATTTTACTGCAGTGGCTAAGAGGACCTCAGTTTTTGATGACCCCACCATGGAAATTCAGGAGCTGACAGCAGTTATCAAGCAAGATATAACTGCACTTAATTCTGCTGTAGTTGATCTCCAGCTTCTATGCAACTCACGAAACGGAGGTAGTAATATTTCGAGTGACACCACCACTCACTCTACAACAGTTGTTGATGATCTGAAGAATCGTTTGATGAGTGCCACAAAGGAGTTCAAGGATGTATTGACCATGAGGACAGAGGTGAGCCAAGATGTTGTTCACTATTCACCTTCTGTTCTACTGACAAGTTTATTTCTGCATTTCCATATTCTGGATGAATGGACTTACTTTATAGCCTGTTAAAATATTTTGTTAAGTGGAACAATATTTCATGGATTTTTTATTTTTGCAGAACTTGAAGGTTCATGAGAACAGAAGACAATTGTTCTCTTCTACTGCTTCCAAGAATCCGGCGAATCCATTCGTTCGCCAACGGCCTTTGGCTGCAAAACCTGCTGGAAGTACTTCAGCTGCCCCTGCTCTTCCATGGGCTAGTGGGGGACAATCTTCATCCCATCCATTCTCTAAGTAAGAATGTTATGAATATTTTGCAGCTAATGGATTTTATATACTCTTTCTACCTAATATGATTGACTAGTCATTTTTATGTACGTCTAAGGGCAGAATGTTGTTTAATAGTAAGATTATTTAATGCTTTTAGTTGATTAAGTACGAAATAGTCATTCGTCTCCATAAAACTGGTTTGGTAGAGTTTTCAATTATTCTTGATTGAGATTAACTGATCCATATGCAAGCAAACCTTATTTTCTGCAACTCCTTCAAGGACAGAAACCAGATGGATGGGGAAACTCAGCCATTAATGTCGCAGCAGCAGCATCAACAGCAACAGGAATTGGTTCCCGTACAAGATAGCTACATGCAGAGTAGAGCTGAAGCACTTCAGAATGTGGAATCTACCATTCATGAGCTGGGCAATATTTTTAATCAGCTCGCTACGTTGGTTTCTCAGCAAGGAGAGATTGCTATCAGGTTTACAAATGCAACCTATCTTATTGCAACTAATTGATATCAATTATTAATTCAGACTACACAATCATAACTTTCTGTTATTTAGTAGGCAGAGATATAGATGAGCTAGCCAATGGGTAGTGTATCAGAAGACCGGGTTCATTATATTTGGGCGTGATGTATGTCTGTAAATATTACTATAATCCCTGCTATATATTGAGAATATAGTAGATTACTGTATCATTAATCCAGCATAGGGTTATTAGCATTGTCCATGTATTTATATAGTTGGAGTTGAGGCATCTGGTCAATATATTAATGCTTTCAGTGTGGTGTTAATGGGGTCTGTTTATATATCTGTTTTACCAGTTTTCCTACGGTAAGTTAGAAGTTTTACAGAACATATTGTCTCTTTAGAAATTACTCTCCTCGTCTGATTGAATGATTTCTCTTCTAACAGTGATTTTGAACTTGAGAACAATTGTTGTCATGTAGGATTGATGAGAACATGGATGACACACTTTCAAATGTGGAGGGAGCCCAAGGGGCTTTGCTCAAGTATCTCAATAGTATCTCATCAAACCGGTGGCTTATGATCAAGATATTCTTTGTATTAGTTTTCTTTCTTATGATTTTCCTATTCTTTGTGGCATAGTTAATGATGCCGAGAGCTGTCGCGTAACATTATATAGTAAGATAAAGATCATGTATTTTGGATGTGACAAGGCTGTTATAATTTTATTTTTTTTCGACTTTGGGATCTCCTGGTGTTGACTATTGTTTGACGAGGTTAATTGTGCAAGAACTCTGCAAGACAAACAAGTTTTCATGTATTGTGGTATAATAGGGTGATTTCCAAAAGGAGAATTTTACAATCACTGTAGGGTGCAATGGGAATTTATTTGAATCTTGCTGGAAAATAGAATGATTGCTACAAATGACTCTATCTTCATCTTCGACTCCCTCAGTTATTACGAAATGAGTGTCCCCAACCCGATTGGTTCGTACTATTGAGGATTTTCAAGAGGTTAAGCGATGCTAGGATTGGGTTTTAAAAAATCATTTATTGTCTAGTTAATTAATTTTTTATTTTTTAATATTTTTTTTTATTTTTAATATGATTAAAATTGAAAACATAAATCACCAAATGAGAGAAACAACTTTTCGTGTTTTCTCCAAACATATTTTTGAAATGTAACTTCTTTTTTTTCTTAAAACTTTCAATGCCAAAGGACTTACCTTAGAATTGGTTGGATTTAGCCCCTGTTTGGTTTGAATAAAAATTAGATTTTTAGTAGATTTTGATTAAAAAATATAAAATATGTGGTTGAAAAATTGATAAAAATTGAAAATCTAATAAAACGAGTGATTAAAAATAAATTCAAGAAAAAAAAAATTTTAAGAAATGGCCTCAATCTAAAGTTTGAATCATAATTTAAAAAAATCAGAAGTTTTGGGTCAAATTAGCAAATAATCAAATCTACAGGGTTCGCCATTTGTGAAGAAACCACAGGTATATATATATAAACCCTCCTTCCTCTCTGACGTGATTTTTACTGTGCCACAGCCCCTTCATCTTTTTCTCTCACTACATTTCTCTCTCTATATCAGTGTGCATATACGTAACTGATATACACATATATACATACCTATACATACAAACACTGATCTTTTACATATCCAAACTCTAGCCCTTCTCTGTGTATCTGAAACCCTTGTTTTTTGATAACCCTAGTTGCCTCCGTTGCATCCGCAATCCATCGACGACTCGGTAAAGTTACAAGTCAATAAATATATACTTCCTTCAAAAATTGGGTATTTCTAAGATTCATTTCGGAATAACAATCATTTCTCTATAATTTTTGAATTCCCATTTCCGATTGAAATTCTGATAGTTCTTATAACCGTTTTTGATATTCGGGTTCTTTAAATTTGTTGAAATTACAACTGGTATACAGGTATTACGTGGAAATCCAGATTTGTACCTTTTTTATCAAGGTTTTCTCAATCTCAGATAAGCAATTGTGTTAGCGTTGGAAAATGGTCGGTGGGAACAGGAGAGACGAGGGATCGTTTGCATTGAGCAACACTAATGGTTTTGCAGCGTTGGAGAGCCTGAGGAGGAAGAAGAAGACTGACAAAGAGAAGAGAGTGGGGAAGACTAGTAAGAGTGCCTCCAAAGCTGGGAAAGAACCTGAGGAGGAGAAGCCGCAGGTGTTCTGGGCTCCTGCACCTTTGACTGCCAAGTCATGGGCTGATGTGGATGAGGAAGATGATGATGATTACTTTGCTACCACTGCTCCTCCCCAGTCTCTTTGGGGGGATTCAGGTTCGAATAAACCTGAAGAGAATCATAAACCAGACCCTTCGGAGGTATAATGAATAAAATAACTGAATATCATATTGTTGTTTTCTAGTGATTATAGTGGTATTGTTCTGTTAAAATTTCAAGGCTTAATTGTTTTGCCCGTTAATTGAATATATCCATGACCGATTTGTATTGTTTTGCTGTTTAAATGACTGCCTCTCTTGGCACCGCTGTTCTTTTCCTTCTATTACTGAAGAATGCAATTTGGTTGCTATTCATATTAATTAGTTAATCATTCACACTCTTTTATGATTTCGTACAGTTTATTTTTTCGGCTTGCTGTGCCTCTTAAAATGTTGTCATCATATAAATTATAATTTTTTATATGATAAAAACCATATTTTTGCATAATCAGTGTCTCGGTTCAATTGACTTCAGGATGTTGAAATATGAGATATGTTGTACGTCTTTTTTGCACCATTTCACGGAATTTTCTGTTGTCTTGTGTGCAATCCTATGGTTAATGGCAAAATTGGGAATCGTGGGTGGCGTGAAAAATTGTGTTTTCTTCTTCTTTGTCTTTTCCTAAAATGGGGAATGGCATCAATGTTTTTTATGAAAAGAAAGAGAATGGTTCTCTTTCCCCTTTTTGCTTCTTTACTTTTGAGTGGCATCAATGTTTTATGAAGAGAAAGAGAATGGTTCTCTTTCCCCTTTTTGCTTCTTTACATTTGAGTTACGACAATTTGCCCAATCTTTACCCTTTCTTAATAAATGGGCCGTGACAATAATCTTCAGATATTTGACTTGGCATGTACTTTTCTTGCTGTATTTACTTATAATTGGGGCAGAGTTAGTGAAATATAATGTTAATGAATGGTTATCAGTGACTTGGTGATTTATGGACTGCTGATGTTTACTTGTGTCATAGTATTAGCGGGACCATTTTTGCCTCGTCCTTTGAAATTCTGAAGTTCTTTGCTTTGTTGTTTGGTGTGGTGCATTTATTCCTTTAGTTGCGGTCTTTATTTCATGCGTTTGTTTGTGATACGTGTTATGTCTAATGGATGGTTGCGCATCCATATTTCAGGAAAGTGAAAGTGAAGAAGAACTTCTCGATGAAGGTGATGATGACGTGGAGGATGACCATGATCATGAACCAGAGGTGCAAGAACAGCCTGAGCCCATAGTCAAAAAGCCTGTAGAAACTTCTCAGGCAGCGAAAGAAACAGAAAGACAGCTTTCCAAGAAGGAGAGAAGGAAAAAGGAGCTTGCTGAATTGGAGGCCATTTTGGCCGATCTTGGAGTTACCCCAAAAGAGAAAGCCCAAGATGAATCAACTGGTAAATATGCATTTTTTTCCTTCCAGAAAATTCTCTGTTATGGATTACATTCCTTTAGGACTTGTTCATGAAATGCTTTAGCTCATAATGAGAAAATAATGTGGAATAACAGTGTTCTCGTCACCAGAATATCTTGGAGTTGCTAGTGAATAACAGTGTGTAGACATTTTAAATTGACCATAGTTCAGACTGAGGTTACACTTTCTTCATGCACTTGTAGATACTACAAAAGAAAAGAAAGAAGGGGAATCGAATGGAGATGCTGAAAGGAAGGATAATGTCCCTGCAGAATCTAAAAGTGCGAAAAAGAAGAAAAAGAAGGATAAAGTTTCAAAGGAGGCTAAGGAACACGAGGATCAACCCAACAGCTCTAACGTCTCTAATGGTCTTGAGGAAGCTGCTGGAACCGAAGAGGGAGAAGAAGATGCATCTGCTGTTGACGTGAAGGAGCGTCTGAAGAAGTTGGCATCTTCTAAGAAGAAGAAATCTAGCAAAGAGATGGATGCTGCTGCAAGAGCTGCTGCTGTGGAAGCCGCTGCAAGGAATGCAAGACTTGCTGCTGCTAAGAAGAAAGAGAAGAACCATTACAACCAGCAGCCAACGCGGTAGGAGCAGCAGATTGGTCAAGCTTACATACTGATGGAGATAATTATGTCTGTACATTTTGTCTTCTGAAATAAACTTTTGGCTCCTATTGTTTTATGATAGATGGACTTGCTATAGTTTTGCTCATTTAATATTAGTTCTCATGTGTACTCTTTAACTGTTCTGTTTGTGTCATATTAATACTTCTTCCTACAAATCTATCTTTTTTCGTGGAATTTTGATGGATGTGCCTTTGTTGAGAACTTGTGTGAATTGTTATGATGCATCACTTTTGGCTTGAATGGACATCCAATGCTGTATGTAGCTATGCATGTAAAGGACGCCTGCCTACCTGCTCCTCATTGTATATATTTTTCAAATATAATTCTTCAAGTACATAATTTTTTTCACAGATTTTGTTCTGTAGCTGTCTTCCGGTGATTTGTTGTACTGTGTATACATTACTACTTACAAACTTGTTTATCAACAAATGTGGTAAGATTCGATTGAATCAAAATCCCATCAATACAAAAAAAAAGGGGGGGATCATGCTATGTGTACATAAATGTTGACACATTTGTACATTGATCTTGACAACATATTTTTTAATGAATTGTAAGATTTTGATACATAAGGATGTGTCAATCAAGGTGTACAAATAGTTTAATTCAGAAAAAAAAATCACTTTCTTTTTTATATTTAGTCATTCTGTAAAAGATTACGAAAATAGTGTTATAAAACAAGCATTTTCAGGTGAGAGGCCCCCTTGCTGTCTTGGCAAGATTTACAGGTATGAATTATGTTTGAAATTGATTTGTGATGTGTGGGGATTGATGAGTGTATTTTCTACACTTATTCGAGGTTTGAAACTATAGAATTTTATTGTTATTTTGGCAAAATATGGCCTAAATTGTGTCACATTGCATCTTGTAGGTAAAACTCGATATTTGATGAATAATTGGAGAAAAGAAGCAAAATATAGCGATAAATTGCAAATACTCAATGGTTGATTCGGACCTCAAGAAAATACTTTGAAAATTGTTATGAGACAATTGGATGAAATTAGAACTCAAAAAGAAATGGAATATGATCAAAATATTATCTAAATCAATTTCCAATCGCACAAGATATATTACAAATTTTTAGCCGAAAATTGAGACCCTTGTTTGGCATAGTAAACATCCAAATTGGAAAAACTCTATTTCTAGAAAAGTTGTATACCTTTGAGGTATCTTTCCAACGCACTTTGAATCGTCTCAATCAGATATTATGAGAGAAAGTTATGACTAAAATACGGACTGCTGTGCAGAGAGAAAAAAATCCGCGCGCGAAAGCAACTTTCCTTATTCGATTAGAACTCTTTTGGAAATCAATTTAGACATGATTTTCAATCAATTTTTGACTCATACAAATAGAGAACAACAATATATATATGGAGAACCTCTCTAGACCTAAAAATCTATATATTATACATATTTTGGAGGTTAAGAATATGGCTAAAAACGTGGAATGAAGGTGAATCATACAAAAATTTTGAAGATTCATAACCCGGTTTTAAGATTTGAGTCAAGAAAGTGGATTTTTCCTATTTCTTCCGTCTTTCTTATTTCCGGGTGATTTTTTCCAATTATTCTTGTGTAATTTAATTATAAGAATGTTAGCCTAAGTTTTTCATTGTATTGGATGAATGATGAACCCTATTGTTTGTTTATTTTAATTCAAGACAATTAGTTTAGTATTTCTTGATTTTTCTTAATTAGTTTTGCATTCTCATTGAACTATTTGATTGCTTAATCACCAATTAGATGGTAAGTTACTTTTTGTAGTGTAAGAATACTCACAATAGGTCTAGAACGCGGCAAAATCAACACATGGACAATAAGTATTAGGAATAATATCTATGGCATGTGTAATCATGTGTGATAAATCATGTGATTCAATACATGTTTTTCATATGAAAAGGATTATGAAAAGGATCGGGTCGTGTTAAACATAGGTTTAATATATTTTGGAAAAGAATATTGAATAAAAGTGGATTATCGATTGTCTTGAATGCATGAATTTACAAGATTACGAATTAAGAATTGAATTAAATGGCAATAGGGGGATTTACGATTCCAATACAAACATTTACATATTAAATAAATACTTTATTTGTTTTGTTATTTTAGGATTAATATAGAAAATATATAAACCAACTCTTTTGATATTACCACAATTCCAATTTAATAGTAGCTATTGAACTAAAAATTAGACCTTATTCCTCGTGGGAACGATACTCTCAACTCACAAATCTTATTACTTGTACAACGATCATGTATACTTGCGGGTTTCACGCGAACAAGTTTTTGGCGTCGTTGTCGGGGAATAACGGATTTAATTTTAGTTTAGTAGTTTATATTAAATTCGATTTTTGTTTTTTTATTTTGTTTTATTATTGATTTTGGCTAGCCACTTTGATCTCTCTTACTTGATATTCTATCCAGGTGCCGTTCAGCATTGCATCTAAGATTCCAACACGGCATGGTGAAAAGATTTTTGCAACGAATAACCTTGAAATGGACGACGAGGAAGAAGATATATATTGTAAATTATGTTATGGGGTGCATTATACTGGCTACTGCGTGAATACATGCACTGAACCCTTTCAGCTCAAGCTCTTGCGGTTTAACAATATTTAAGACGTCGAAGACTGGCAATTGACACATCTTTTCAAGCCTACATGCCTGTGGGCGAGTGTATCCCTTCCGACACGTATGTGGAATTTGGTTCTTCTATGTTGAACGAGAAGACAATTGCAAAATACTATACTGATCTTGCCAAGTTAGATGAAAACAAAATGTGTCTGGGAGATGGCGTATTCTGAATTGAATTTAAAAGGTGGAGATACAATCCACTCGAAAAATTTGAAAGAAAAGAGTTTACATTACTCGTGGATTTAAATTGTGAATCGCCCATTTAATCCGAGGAGATATCAATTATGGAAGACGAGAACAAATATGATGAAAGATAAATTACAAAGGAACAAAGTGAAGACGAGACAATTAATGAAGACGATGTTAACCCACATTCTATCGGCTTCATTGATTGTCCTATTATTGAATTTGTAATTAAACCCGAAGAGAATGAAGAAGTCTACGTAGTTGAATTCAAATCGAAGGAGATAGACATATCATACCACATTGGAGAAGACAGTGTTAAAACTTGCAGAAGCAATGAAGAGTGGAGTAAAATCAGAAGAGGCAAACTGAGCAAAGCATCAAAAGCGTTCTTCAGAATTCCATGATATCGAAACAACAAAGTCAAGCTAATGACTTTAAACAAAACGCTCATTGGGAGGCAACTCAATACTTCTAT